AGCTGATCCAAAGCCAGGAGCCTAGAGCTTCTTCTGGATCTCCCACACAGGTACAGGAGCCCAAGCACTTGGGCCATGTTTCACTGCTTTTCCGGGTCATAGCAGAGAGCTAGATCAGAAGAGGAGCAGCCAGGACACAAACTGGCACCCATCTGGGATGCCAGTGCTGCAGGCAGAGGCTTAGCCTACTACACCACAGTGCCAGCCCCAGCACTAAAATCAATAACCAGTTACCACTGCTGAGTATGTCTTACCTAAATATCGAGGAATTTTAATGTGCTTTTCATTAGTTTGCTCTTTGTTTAGGAATTATTATTTGATCACTTAATATGCAGACTGTACATGGAAATAACCTCTGAATTTGTCATCCTAAGAAAATGAACCGAGGTGCTGGCATTGTGGTGCAGTGCATTGTGCTACCACTTGCAATGCTGGCATCCACACTGGATCTCTGGTCTGAATCCCACCTGCTCTTCTTATGATCCAACTCTTTACTAATGTGCCTGGGGAAACCAGCAAGAGATACCCAAGGACTTGGGACTCTGCAACCCACATAGGAGACCTGGATGGTTATGGGATTCTGGCTTCAGCCTGGGCTAGTGTTTGCCATTACAACCCCTTGATGAGCGAACCAGCAAAGGAAGGTCTCTTTCTCTTTTTCTATCTTTCCATCTCACTCTGTTATTCTTTCAAATAAATAAATACTGTTTTAAAAAATGTACTAATATGCCTTAAATGAAGTAAATATTTTTGTGTTAAGGACATATACTGCTGTATCAAAAGTGAATTTATCATTTTACATACAACATATACATTAGTTTTATTGTTTTATAATAAGAATTTAATAAAATAGAATTTGACTGAGAACCACATAATTTACAATAAATTGATGCAGGTTGCTTTGTTAAGAAATTGACCAAAATTAGAAATCATTCTAACAAAGGTCCAGAAAATTAAGAGATTTAAATTTTATTGTGAATGTTTCATTAGTGATATAGGATGATTATTATTATTTCTCTTCTGCTATAAATATGCTTTGTTCTGGCGATTTCTTTAGAAAGTAATTTATTTCCCTTCTCTTGGTGATAGCACACTCGGTTTCAGATTAAGTTTGCAGCTGTGTGATATGTTGTTAAGTGAAAATTTAACTTCCAGTAGGTTTAAAATAGAAAGCCACTGCCTGACCTCAGGCTGCTATGCGCCTGGTAATTGCAGAAAGAACTTTCTTAGGTCCATGTAGAATGAATGAGCACAGGCTCTATAAAATGCTGTGCAGACAACCAGCCGGCAGAGAAAAGCCTTTGAAGATGATTGCCTTAGGAGTTCTGGAGCACACAGGCTGAAGAAGTAATCTTAATTCAAAGAATGCAAACCTTCTTGATTTTTGTGAAGATAACTTACTAGAACCACCAGGAAGTAACTACTTCATTCAGGACATAATTGGCATTTTAAAAACATTTTATATGACTAAGTTAGCAATGCAGGTTGAAATGGAAACCAATTTACTCTTGTTGGAGTATTATAACCCCCTCTGTGTTACATATCAGAAGTAAGATATACAAAGATACTGTGATGAATTAAAAGTTAAATACAGAACATGCCAAAGAAAAAAGTGCATAGCCAACATTTTAATGTCCTTACATACCATGAACTACTCAGTATCATTTTCAGTTTAGATTAATCCAATAAAGGATAAAGCTTAAATGCTGAAATTTTGAGATCACTACTGTAGTAGAAGCTCTTGTTGTGCCTCAGTATTTCTTTTTTTCTTCTTCCTAATAAGATCCTCAATTACGTTGTAAATAAGTGGCTGCACTTATTGATGGGGGAGAACTCACAATTTCAAACAGTTCTCTAGTTATATGTGATTATGTGGTTAATTTCTGGTCAGGAAATTTTAGTAGAATTGGTGAGGAAAACGTGTCCTTAAAGAGCAAAATGAAAGAACTCTTTTCTCCTTTTCTCTTCCTTGTTAGGTGAGCCAGAGAGCTATCCCAGAACTCAAATGGAAGCTGTGTGCAAAACTCAATGATAAAAACGAGACCCTACACCTATTTCCCTAACTCACCGACTTCTTGAATACACACCAGGCAAAGAAACTTCTACTTTGTTTAAGTGTGATAATTTTATCATTTACAGCCCTAATTGAAGCAGAATTGTAAACATTCATACACTGCTTACTTTTTACATTTATAAATGAATTTAGCAATCATTTTTGATAGGAATTGCATTAATTTTCCCTATTCAGGGCCTCTTGATCCTTGATCAGTTAAATGAGGATGTAAATGCTTCCACATGTCTGAATATTCCACTCATAAAGCAGACACCGAAGTCCTCAGCTGGAGAGAAAGTGAAGAGACCATAACTCTCTTACACTGCTTTCACCATTTGGAGAAACAGTGTGATAATTTCTTAAAACCATTAAATATGTATTTGAATGCAATCCAGAATTCTACTCACTAATATCTACTCAAATTTATTTGTAGCTAATGTTCATAGCAGCATTATTCTTAATACCACAGTTTGGGAATATTTAGATAACATCAACTGACAAATGGATAAACAAAGTGTATTTTATCAAAGCAAATGTATACTACTTAGCAATAAAAGGAAACAAGCTATTAATATTTTTGTATCTAATGATATGATACATTTCAAAAACATGCCACATTAAAACTTTAAATCAATCACTATTATTCCATTATTTCATGTATATTAAAATTCTAGAAAAGATAAACATGTGTATATATATGTGTGTGTGTGTGTGTGTGTGTGGGTGCACATGTGCATATTGTGTGGGTGTATGATAAATATCATATGGGTAGATTAATGATATGAAATAGATACCTGGTGCTGTGGCATACCGGCTGAGGGTGTCCCATATGGGCACTGGTTCAACTCCTGGCTCCTCCACTTCCAATCCTGCTTCCTGCTAATGTATCTGGGAAAGTAGCAGAAAATGCTCCAAGTCCTTGGGCCCCTGTACCCACGAGGGAAACCCAGAAAAAGCTCCTGGCTCCTGGTTTCGGATCATCAATTTACATTACAACCCTTTGGGGAGTGAACCAGCAGATGGAAGAACTCTCTCTCTCTTTCTGCCTCACTGTAACTCTACTTTTCAAACAAATAAATTTTAAAAATTTAAAAAAAACTATACAGTTATCTCAACATTTTTTCACCAAAATAAACTTATCTTTTAATTCCATATTCCCACAATTTTTAAAGCACTTTGTTATAAAACCAGATTGTGATAATGATTCCTTAACAGTATGAATTCACTGAGTCATAGAGTGAATTTTATGGTATTGATCTCTTAGATCACAAAGAGACATGAAATCAAACAAAAAAATGGCACATACACATACAAAAAACAAAAGGAACAATAAAAGGACTAAAATTTTGATCAAATTGTTGCTCCCCGTCTTCGTGGAGGAACGACACAGGACCCTGCGCTGTTCTTTCGTCTGCTCGGCCCTCCCCGGGTTTGCTGCTGGTTCTTCCCGGGTTGGCTACCGACCCTTCCACCTCCGTGGAAGGGCGGTTCCCCCTAGCCACTTTCCCCACTTCCGCGGGGGAGCGGCACACCGCCGGCCGGCTCTCTCGGGGGCTGCACAGGTGTTCCTTCAGATAGATGTTCCCCTTAGATGTTCCTGGTGCATGTTGTCTCTCTCCTCCTTTATAGTCCTCTTCCACCAATCCCAACTCTGCTACCCACACGCCGAGTACGCTGCTCTCCTCCAATCAGGAGCAGGTCCTACAGTTTGTTGGTTGAACTGGAGGCAGCTGTGTAGAAGCTGTTTCTCCCTTCTCAGCGCCATATTGTGGGAGAGCAGATGCATAGAATAAGTCTTAATTCCAGTAACTTAGTCTAGTCCGAGTTGCTCCCCACACAAATTAATAAAATCAGTTAAACACTAATATTAGAGAAAAAGAATTAAAGTTAGTAAATCTCGGTCTCTCCTACCATTTTCTGAATTCATGTGTGTGCATGAATTTTTCAACTCAATGTGCTATCTGTAAGAAGAGAGATCAAATATCAAGGCAGTTACTCGATCATCTTGCTAGATTTGATCTATCTTTAAAATTTTTTTAAGTGTATCAGACGGTAGATAAGGAAACACAAATGAACCAATATACATGAGAAAAATCTAAAGGTCATATATTCATAAAACTACCTAAAACAGATTCCTGAGCTTCCCACTAAGAAAAGCTTTTTCAGGAAACACATTAAGAAGCTTAAATTTCTAATCTTCTAAAACTGACTGGGTGCTTGAAATCTGATAATCCCACAAGCCAGTAAATTGAAACTAGTCCTGTATAACATAAAATCCATGGAGAGAAACCACAATTATGAAAGAAAAGTAGAAGATTTAGAAACAAGGCATAAGTGTTTTAGAAAGACCTATCATGTTACACAACTGGCAGGCAATAGAAAGATCTAAGAGAAGGAATGTCCTAAGAATCTTGTTTCCTTACTTTTCTATTAGAAATATATTTGTTAGAATTAGTCACTTTTAGAACTGACACTGCAGCATAGCAGGCTAAGCCTCTGCCTGTGGCGTCAGCATCCCATATGGGCGACAGTTCTTGTCCCGGCTGCTATTCTTCCGATCCAGCTCTCTGCTTATTGCCTGGAAAAGCAGTGGAAGATGGCACAGTGGTGCCTGGGGCCCCTCTACTTGTGTTGGAGACCCAGAAGAAGCTCCTGGCTCCTGGATTTGGATTGGCTCAGCTCCAGCCATTGCAGCCATTTGGGGAGTGAGCCAGTGGATGGAAGACTTCTCTCCGTCTCTCTTTCTCTCTCTCTCTCTCTCTCTCTCTAATTCTTCCCCTCAAATAAATAAATAAAATCTTTTATAAAAAGTCACTTTTAATATGGTTATTCTATTATTCTATGCACATGACTAAAAACTTCTCCATTTTCTATCTCTCACACACCTATGTTCATTTGCCAATATCTTTTGACTTAGAGACTTACTGTGTTTAAGATACTCATTCACATAATTACCTGGCAGGGAAACACCATGATCAGGCAGGTGGTTCTCCAAGGGCGAGGCCTGGCCATTGCACTGTGGCTGTGCTGACCCCTGCGATTTCCCCACATGCGGGAAACTCGACTGCAGAATTTGTGGTAGTGGGGGACTGCATGCACGCTCTCCCCTGAAAAAGAAAAAGAAAGAAAGAAAGAAAGAGAGAGAGAGAGAGAGAGAGATACTCATTCACACACTTGGGACTAAATTCAGATTCAGCTAAATAGACTGATCTCAGTGAAAAAAATCCTCAATAAAACTCAATTTTATTTTACTAAAGGGAATTACAATATTTAGCTTATGAACATCTGTTTTTAAGGATTCAGATATGCATATAATAGTAAATAATAATGGCAGGATAATTTCTAACTAACCCGTCCTCCAGGATTCTAGATATGCATTTATTGAAGAAAATACAAAATCGATTGTATTAATAATAATGCTGTAGAGGCATCTTGTAGATGTAAATCCATGGACATCTAAACAGGAAGTTTATCCAGATGGTCTAACCTAGTTCAGTGAGTTATTTTAATTATGTATGTTTGTATCTATTTGAGAGGCAGGGAGAGACAGAGAGAGTGCTGAATTCTACTGTTCCACCCCTCAAATGCTCATAGTTACTGAGGGTAGCAGGGAGGATTGGGGTGAAGCTGGGAGCCGGGAACTGAATCCTAACACCCTATTTTGTTGTTAGGAATCCACTCACTCCACTACTTCACCCTAGCCACTCAGGTCTGCACTAGCAGGCAGATGGCATCAGGAGCTGGAGCCGGTATCAAACTCAGAGACTGCAACATGAGACACAAGCATGCCAACAGCTAGGACACGTGCTGGCCTCTTTTAAAAATGAAGAATTTTTCCTAGCTGATAGAAAAAACAAAAATCATAGATGCTAAATATGGCAACAGTTTGAATCATGCTCATAGCTTGAGAGATGGCTTAAGCCAGAGGAAAATGAATGCAGCATCCTCTGTGAGGTGAGAATGGCTTCCAGCCACCAAACAGCAGGGGAATAGGTCTTCATCCCGAAACCACAGAGCCGAGCCTGGCTGTCAACCCTAATGAACTCAGGAGTGTATTCTTCCCCAAAGCTTCCATCTTGTGTGACCCTGAACACAGATTCTGACTGCACCAACCTGGATAGCCAAATAACATGAAAAGTAAATAAGTGTTGTTTAAAACTACTAAAATAGTGGTAACTTGTTGCAAAGCAACAGAAAATAAATACAGTGCTTAATAAAATTTACGTCCTCATTCTCCCTTTCATAGATTTGGAAAGAAACAAAGCCTATTCTTTTTTTCAAAATACATCAGTGTGGGGCCAGCACTGAGGCATAGCAGGTAAAGCTGTAGCCAGCATCCCATATGGGCACCTGTTCCTGTCCTGACTGCTCTACTTCCTATCCAGCTCCCTGCTAATGGCCTGGGAAAGCAGCAGAAGATGGTCCATGTGTGTGGGCCCCTGCTTCCACGTGGGAGACTTGGAAGAAGCTCCTGGTTCCTGGCTTTGGCCTGTCCCAATCTTGGCCATTGAAGCCATTTGGAGAGTGAATCAGCAGATGAAAGACTTCTCTATCTGTCTTTCCCTCTCTTTTCCTGTAAATCTGTCTTTCAAATAAATAATTGTTTAAAAAAAATTCAGTGTTTTGTGTCTGATGGCTGCATGCTTAACAGTTTTATTGTGAATAACTAAATTTATAGAAACTAAAACATGCATATATAGAGCCTATAGATATATAAGCTATGACTAAAACTTATAGAAACTTCTTATATGATTATTAATCCCTCATAACTGCTGTATAAAATATTTAAAACAGTTTTCAATTTTATATTGCACAGATAATCATTAAATCAGAGTATTTAACATAATAAGTGTTTCTGGCAGCTTAGGTAGGTCTCTTTCTACTAGAAGATGCAACCACCTCATGTTAGTAAATACAGAAGTTTTAAAATGGAGGAGTATAAGGGTGCGTTTTGGGTACAGCAGGAATGATACTATTGTCATGATCACATCCTGTATTTGGTGCTATTTATATTTCTACCACCCACATGATGGACCTGGATTGAGTTCCTGGCTCCTGCTTTAGCCTGGTCCATCCATTCCTAGCTGCTGTGGGCATACTGTAAATAAATCAGTAGCTGAGGGATTTGTCCATCTATCTCCATCTTTCTTTTAAACAAATAAGCAAAAACAATGTTTTAAAGTTGATATATAAAAGTTTTTAAAGTTTATATGTAATTATAATATAAAGACTTGCAATCATGGTGAAGTACAATTATAATTTAGCAATAAAATTTTCAGCGATTAGGAAGGATTCTTGGTTAGATAATTGACATTGGTCTTGATTCAGAGACATGCACATTGTAGAAATACATTAGGCCAAAATATATCTGCCTCTAATTCACTCTTGGTAACTCACTCTATCTGTTTAGTAACTTATTCAGGTGGGAGTCTAAGATAATAAAGAGGTCTTAAGGGTCTGACTTGGTAGTAAAAAAAAATTAAAAACCCAATGAATCCTTTATAGTTTTCTACATTCATGCACATCTGAATATTTACAGTAATGTAGATTTAGGAGTAATTGATTCTCATGTTCCTACAAAGTGATTTTTTTTTCACCACCACCATTTGGGTCTCAGATGGTCACTTTGTTGGCTACCCTTACTGGATCTATTGAAGCCACCACTGAGGCCAACATTTCCACTTCTCAAGGAGAATGTCTTGAGTTAGTGATTCCAACTGAAGAACACTGTGGTGCTCGATGGCAATAAAGTGCCCACATTAGATCGTAGGGCTCATTAGAAATGGCGGACGTGAGACACAAAGAAGAAGGAGAGTGAAATGGAGACAGCAAGAGGTCTTGGGTTGAGCATGCAGCCATTGAGCAAGCTGAGGATACTGATGATTCTGAACAGATGAATCTGAGAGTTATGAAAGGGGAACAGAAATGAGAAAGCCAAAATGAAGATGAAGAATCACAACACAGTGACCATTTGATTGGAGGTGATGAAGAGAAAACAGAAAATATCTGGGAATCTCCACTCTTCTTTCTGCTTCCAGTTTCCTAGTTAAGACTTTCCATATTTTATAGTAATAGAGCACATTGCATTTGTGGAGTAGAAGAAGTATATATTAACCATGATCCTAGCATCCAGAGTTGGCCTGGGTGGCCAGCCCCAGCCAAAGTCATGGAGAATCATTTGGCATGACATGCTCAAAGAGAAGCTACATTTTAAGAAGAAAGTGTTGATTTTGAAGAAAGTATGCTGTGCTTACTCAGCTTATAGTAAGAAGTAGGAAATCATAAGTGAAATGAGAGAATTCAGAAGATGAAATAAATAGGTAACACTGGACAATAGAATAATAAATACGAAGAACCCAAAACAAAACTTTTCAACCTTCTCTGCACTTTGGGATTCCCTAAGAGCTTTTCAGCATTTTCATCCACCACACCCAGAGTTCCTCAAGTTGAAAATTATTGTAAAAGAGATAATAAAGTAATAATCATATTTTGAAAAATCTATTACTAGTATGGGAATAAGGAAAAGTAGTTTCTAGTCTTATTGCTTTTGATCAGCTAAGTAACATTGCATAATATAATTGTTAGTGTTTGTATCTGCATTTCATTAATAATGAAAAATTTAGGGTATAGATTGTATCTCTAGTATGTGTTTCTCTCAGTTGCTCTCTTTATTATTCAGCTGTGTATCTTTTTATAAAAAGCTTTGAGATTAGATGGCCTTGACTTAGGATTAGGATTTACTTTCTTTTTCTTATTGCATTATACTGTCCAGTAATTGGAACTTACTGCTTATTTTTCTCCTTCTGAACACATGCCATACTGAACATCCTCCTAACATAATTAATTTTAATTGCTGCAAAAATTTATTGTAGGGATTTACAAAAACATGTAGAGTTGCTGTTTGGATATGGCCAATTGACCATGTTTTTTATAAATTTACCTTGAAAAATCTTACAGCATGCTGAAGACAACAAATATTTAAGAGAAAAAAGGAGGTGAAAAAAACTGGATATGTATGTATCAGAATATGTATAGGTTCAAAAGAATATTTTTAAGATAGAAACTATATCTAAAAGCTGATATTGTTAAATGTGCAGACTGAGGCTTGCATTATTACTTTTATGATCTAGAAAATGAAGAAAACAGAGCTCATAGTATTAAGACCAAGAGCCTTCTGTTAGTAGACTTCAAAATGAAATCTGCTAAGTTCTGTGATCCTTTTCCTACCATAACACACAATCATATTTCTTGACTAGAGAGATCTAAATCACAAATGGTTTTCTTCTGTCAGAAAAACAATGCTTTCTACAGTGGAAAATGGCCCAAGTTCTTGGGTCCCTGCACCTGCGTGGGAGATGTGGCGGAAGCTCCTGGCTCCTGGCTTCGGATCGGCTCAGCTCCGGCCGTCGCCACCATTTGGGGAGTGATCCAGCGGATGGAAGACCTTTCTCTCTGTCTCTCCCTCTCTCTCTCTCTGTAACTTAACCTGTCAAATAAATAAAATAAAATATTCTTTTTAAAAAAATCAAAAGGATGCTTTCTGTATCCTTTTTGTGTTTTGTGAATTGTGAAAATGATGAGCAAATGGTGAAACATGCATGGGGATATTTAGTATCAAACACTGAAAAGAGAGATGTGCTGTTCTCTGAATAAAAAAATCCGTAACCATTGCATGAGAAAAATGTATTGGCGGGGCTAGCACTGTGGTGTAGTGAGTAAGACTGCCGCCTGCAATGCTGGCATCCCATATGGGCGCCAGTTCGAGTCCCGGCTGCTCTACTTCCAATCTAGCTCTCTGCTATAGCCTGGGAAAGCAATGGAAAATGGCCCAAGTCCTTGGGCCCCTGCACCCACGTGGGAGACCCAGAGAAAGTTCTTGGCTCCTGGCTTTGGATTGGCACAGCTCCAGCTGTTTCAGCCATCTGGGGAGTGAACCAGTTGGAACCAGAGGGAAGACCTCTCTCTCTCTCCCCCTCTCTCTCTGCCTCTCCTTCTCTCCGTGTAACTCTGACTTTCAAGTAAATAAGTAAATCTTAAAAAAAAATGTCTTGTCAAGCACTCTTGAAACTCCAAAACAAATTGTGGGTCTTAGGAATGAATTTTGATTAAA